GGGGTTTTCATGAGCTGTAAGCCATAATCATCTCAATTATGACACATCACTGCTTGAACTATCTTGCTTTGCATGTAATGAGTCTATCTCATATATTAGGTTCACCTTTTAAGTTGCATTACTGAAATAAATGAACTTTTGCATGATATTCTAATTTTTTGAGTTTCACCTGTAGAAAGGAATGTTGAAATCACAGAGGATTCTATCCAGTTTCCAAGGTTCCACAAATTCAAAAGAATCCAATAAGATTTCAGAAGACCTTGCCTTGTTGACCACAGTGTACTCTGTTACATTGACATTAAATCCATAGCTGACATGGGCAACTCTATGTGCAAAGAAATCCTGCCAATTCATCTGGTACACTGCAGACACTGTATCCTGCCCTTATTTCTCCAATAACTATCATATAACCCCAGATGGAGCTGTCAGGAATCTGCAAATGAAACAGGCACCCAAAATTAATTTGTTAATGTTCTTATCACCGCTGTGCAAGCTCAAATGTGAGCTTGAACCAATGTTCCATGACAGATTTCTCATCAGTGTCACTTCAAGTATCTTCATTTCTCTTAGCTCCTTCAGGGAACTAAATAGTGATAGGGCAGAAGTCTCACAGACATTACAATCTCATATAGCACTCTGGCTATTTCTGTATTCCAGGAGTCAGCCAGGCATAAAAGAGAACTGTCTGGCTACTGGCCAGTAAGGACCCCCTCCAAAAGTCCACCCAGATTCATGAAATGCCTTAGGAACAACTTAATCACCTAACCAAGTAGAAGTCTGGGGTATTTGTGATTCACATCTTAGTAAGGAAGTGATCATAGAAAGTGACAGATAAAAATGTCCCATCTACTTGAACTTATAATAACTTTATTTTCACTTTGAATGTACACTAATCGGCCTACATTAAAATGGAATTTTGTTGCATACAGCTCTCAAAGGGTCACCACCTCTATTATACACTACACCAGTGGCCCCCAACCTTTTTTGTACCACGGACCGGTACAATCCACGGACCGATCCATGGACCGGTACCGGCATCAGCACGCACGACCAAGGCAAGGCGAGCCGAGTGACCGGCCAGCCAGCCGTCCCCCACTTCTCCCCGCCACCTTCAACTCCTCCTTTGTACCTTCTCGCGGTCGATGGGCTTTTCGGGCTCTTTCTTAATCTCCTCCTGAGTAACGCGAGACTCCACTGCCATCGGGACGGCTCTTCGTTCGAAGCCGCCCCCCCCTTCGACGAAACTAAGGCGCGAGGATTCCTTCAGCACCCAAACGACGACCGACAAGCTCACCCAGAAGCACTTTCTCAAGCTCCATCAAAACAAGATTGCGGCGCCCGCCCTACTTTCATTCTTTGCGGCCCGGTACAAAATGATCCACGGACTGGTACCAGTCCGGGGCCCGATGGTTGGGGACCCCTGCTCTACACAAACATGACTAAATAAATAAATAAATACAAAATTAAGCATATACCCACCATCCAGC